GACGATGCATAAGTACATCACACCGACAAAGCAAAGAACAACATTTCCTTATCGGTGACGCGACCGAAGGGTGCTAACACAAGCATCTTTCAATGAGAAATCCTCAAGCCTCTTGATGTCGCGCGTGGTGCGATCTCTGCATCTTGCAACAATACTATACACTCTGAAAATTTGGCCGGCAGCCACACGTGCTGCAGTGACGGGTAGCCATCCTTGTTTAGAGTGATCCCATCGTACATGTTCCTCAGTCTCTCATTTATACACGACCTGTTTGACCGACGTAATACCTTCCACACGATAACCAGCTGATACACCACATTGCAGATGCACTCTCTAATTTATTTGCATGTTTTTAGTACTGAGGCGTGTCTGGATGGAGGAACGGACAGCTTGCACAGGCCACTCAAGTTTTTAGGGGTCATGAAACCATCTTCACATACACGCTGTGCCACTTCTTAAGATTGTGCACTGTCTTGTGCATGCACGGAACCAAGAAAAGCCTGTCTAGCTGTGACAGGTACTTCGTTCCCTTTGGCCTGAATCTTCGCAGCAAGCCTTCGCCAACGGAAACTTGCACGTGGTCGTGGTAACCAGCCGACGTCAGCCTTGAGATTGCTCAACAAGCTTTCTGTAATCGTGTTGCGCACAGAATTTTTGAAGCATTCATGAAGCAAGATTTTGCGATACCTCGCTTGACTAATTAGAATGCTTGGATTGAAAAGGCAAAACAGGCTTATTTTGACGCTGTTGATACATCCAGCAAGTGCGTCTATTATTCAGGAATAGCTTAAAGTCAAGGAACCTGATTTCACAATTCTACGATAGTTCATGAGTAAGCTCAAAATGTTTGAAACCAATTCGCATCAGGTCTACAACGGCAAGAGCGTCATTCTTATACAATGTAACATCAGTGTCCATAAAAAATTAAAAATCATCTACGCATCTGAAAACGTGCGTCATATTAGTGTTAGTGAAACTTCCGAAATTGATATGTCCAAGTTGCCTAAAAACAGGTCACTGACGATGGGTGCGATGCAAGAACCAATACAGATACCGGATTTTTGAAGGTGAGGTTTTTCATCCCATAGGATGTACTTCAAATGAAGGTAAAACCTTAGAAGCTCTAAAAACCCACTGACGCTGACGCCAGACCAGGGCTGGAATTTTGAGGCGCCAAACTCATCTATATATTCTTCAATGCATTGTAACAATTAGTCATGCGGTGTATAACAGTACAGGTTCTTGAAGTCTACAAAGAAGGTGAATAGAGCCTTATTCCAACGTGACGAGACTAAACTCCTGGACTTCTCATGAACTTTTTACCAGAAATGGATCGTTCACTTCTAGAGATTTCAAGGTTTTCTGCAGGTAGAGCGCAACACATTTTTGCCAAGTAATATTTTCAGATATAATTAGCCTAAGAGGCATGACGATCTTGTGCGTTTTCGCGCTGAAGAAGGCTTCAAGGAAGTCTTCTTTGGCATCTGACTTGACTTGTTTTTAGGACACTTACAAGGTTTAACTTGCGAAGCAGGCTTTTAGATTTAATTTGGACTTTTTTTGTGGACACTTCATCATGGCAATTAAACAGTGCCGAAACCGTGCGACAAGCTTTGTTGGCAGTTCAGCGCTCTGTCTCGTCTCTTCTTCTGTCCCCTTCTGCCCTGTCGTTTGCTCTGGTAAGCACTCTTTCGTGTTATATCAACACAATCCTACTCTCTCTTGAGTTTCATTTCTAATACAACGGGTCCTTTCCTGACCTCTTCTCTCCAGCCTCATGTTGTCGTCTACATGATCGCAGTTACCACTTGCGAGTGCGCGCTATTTCTTTTTGCATCAAGAAATAGGTGCTCCCAGAACGCCGAAAAGGTACCCGTTCAAACTTTTTTCTCTATTTTGTTGCTTTTAATTTTCAAGAATGCTTTTATGAACACGGGCTCATATGCGTTCTTCTTGAGAAAACGACCTTCGGCAACACTTCTAAAGAATAACTAAGATAAAAGGAAAAAATAGGTCTACGAAATTCAATACTAGAGAGCTCTACTAAGATAACAGACGTCTTGAACACATGCAAGCAAATTGTTTCCGTGAAACAGCAAAACAGCGGTTGAAAGACTTGCTCAGATGTTGTTAGCCAACACAGTCAAGGACGGAGGACGCATATCTTCGGCCCGTCGCAGCCACCGCGATATCCGATATCTTGTTTTGACGGCCTCGGCTACTTTTTCCGTCTCAAGGAAGGCTGCCTAGAAGGCCCGTCGTGAACGCACGAGTGCTTCAGTCTCGCGTTTCGCCTTGCTGTCGAATACTCGCAGTCCATTCTCATCTCGTCAACATGGGCTGGCTAAACAATGGAGTGTCCGTGATGTTTGCCGTTATAGTCACCGGCAGCATTGTCACACACCATCCTCCTCGTGAGCCAACGGACGCATTTAGGGTGAGTTCGGGTATATTTTAATGAATCCCACAAGAATACACCATGGCACTGTGGGGCAGATGGTACCACCAACTTATTCATGATTCATAATTGATATGTGGGGTTTAACATTCCAAAACCACCATATGATTACAAGAGACGCCGTAGCGGAGGGCTTCCGGAATGTTGACCTCTTAGGGTTCTTTAACGCACACCCAAATGTGAGCACACAGGTCCAAAGCATTTCCTCCTCCTTCGGAAATGCAGCCGTCGCAGCCGGGATTCGAACCCGCGACCTGCGTGTCAGCATCCGAGTACCTTAGCCACTAGACAACCGCGGCGAGGCAAGCTCAACTTTGAACGCACCATTTGCGGACATGTATGAAACGTTTTCACATTGGTCGCAGCTCGAGTAATATTTACCTCAAGACCTTCTTTCACTAACATTAGAGTAACTACAGTGTTTTTTTGTGGCATCTTTTTAAGCAGCGAGTAACTTAGGTCTATCGTAGAGGGCCGTAATTTTCCGTACACGCACACACAAACCATTTTGAAGAACTGGCAAACTGACACCCATGTCTATTAATACTTCCACTTCAATCGTTATACTAAAATCAAAACGTTATGGCGATGTCGGTCGAAATTGCTCTAACTTCGCTGAATGTAGCTTATCCCCCAATATCTGCCTAATTTAGTTTTCGGCTGGTCAAAGTGGCAACGTAGAGGGGCGATGAGTGGTATCACAGTATCTAGGAGTCGTTGCTAACGTTGCAGGTGGAGAGGACGGCGCTGGAAGGTTGCTCCAGTCGGCAAACTCGCTCCGTTCGTAAAAGTGTCAAACTCATGATGCTCGGTCTTGCTAAAGTTTGCGGCAAATGAGTGCGATATCTCCGCGACAATGGTGCGGTGTTTCCAGAATGTGTTGATGATGGTAAGAGCTATATGCTATTGTCAGAAAATAACTGGGACACGTATTCATAAAGCACCTGTTATAAAGATGGATAACTCGTTAAGACGATCACTTTGAAAAAAGTGGCGACAAGCTTTAGCCATTATTAGCCTCTTGGAAACAGAGCAAGAACGGCACATAGAAAACAAGACCAAATGACGTATCACAGTGCTCAGAACAAGCATTTGAGCTCTGTGGTTCATCCTTTCTTCTTCTTCGCACGTGCTGTTCGTTATACTGTTTTTAGTACGTTCAAGAACTATTACCAAATAGCTCACCTGTAGATTCTGCTAAGTATTCAGCAAGCCTGTCTTAGATTTTTCAAAGAATAACATACTGTTACATTCGTACAACATTGATCTATAGTCTGTGACGTTTTTTATTCTCTTTTCACACAAAAGGTCTTTTATGCCAGGGTCCACCAAGATTTCAGTGACTACTTAAGGCGCGAAATGACGTCAAGAACAACGCGATCAGAACAAAGAAAAACTCTGACAACATAACTCGAGCCCACGACCTCTTGCCCAGCGACAACAGCTGCTCGGAACACTATCCACTGCGCCACGGCCACATGCTTGTTATTCTTTTAAAATCCACCTTTCATATCTACCACTGCACTCTCGCTGTACTCTAGGTAAAGTATAATAAGGCATCATGACCACGAAATCAACAATTCCGTTCCTTGAACACGCCGTTTCTACGCATCAGCCTAATTCTGTACTGTTCCAATAGAAGTGCGTCTTTGTCAACGCCTCACACACCTACTAGGTAGCGATCTCAGCTAAAACTTAGGAGTGCCGCATAATATCCATCCAAACGAAATTGTAGTTCTGCAACGCATAGAGCAACGTGCCTGCTTCCCTTGGATGTAATTCGGCGTTCCTCGCTTAGGCTCGCCACACGAAAAATTCTGGCCAGTCAAAGGGAAGACTGATGTAACGAATTGCGTTTCTCTCTAATCTGGCTGTGGCATTCAATAGCTCAACATGCTACGAGTATGCGACCTAGGCTCAAGTGTGGCGCAAAATTAATCAAGCTCTTCTGGATGTCGCACCACTTTCTGTGTTTCTACTCTCACCGTTAACAACTGCTGTTGACACAGGCGTCCATGGCCACAAATGTATGTTTTATCATTCATCATTCATTGATCATGGACGTTATTCGTTGGTATAGAACACTAAGCGTCGACGTCGGTAACACTAAGCGTTGACGTCAATTTATTCACGAAAAATGGGGCTTTAGCTGTCGAGCACCAACATGCATTGTACATTACTTACGGTACATTGATACCAGAGTGTGGGTCAATGTACCGGAAGCTCTGAACTAGTTCGGTAAAGAGACGTTTCACTTTTTATTGATTACTGTAGCGGTGGCATCAACTTCCTTTAGGGGTGAAGCTCCTAAGGCCATGCGTCTGTTCATACATGTCTTTTGTGACCGGTTCGTAACCCCTAATTGTATTACTCACGCAGCAAGTGGCGCTAGTATGAGCGACAGACAGACAGACAGACAGACAGACAGACAGACTGACATGGACGGACGGACGGACGGACAGACAGACAGCCAGACAGACAGACAGACGGGCAGACAGGCGGACAGACGGACAGACGGACGGACGGACAGACGAACAAACGGATGGACGGACAGACAGACGGGCAGACGGACAGACGGACAGATGGACAGACAGACGGACGACAGGACAGACGGACAGACGGACCGGACAGACAGACGGACAGACAGACGGACGGATGGACGGACCGATGGACGGACGGACGGGCAGACGGACGGACCGACGGACGGACGGACGGACCGACGGACGGACGAATGGACGGACGGATGGACGGACCGACGGGCAGACAGGCAGGCAGACAGACGGACAGGCAGGCAGGCAGATAGACGGACGGGCAGGCGGGCAGGCCGGCAGGCAGGCAGGCAGACAGATGGGCAGATGGACAGACAGGCAGGCAGGCAGACAGACGGGTGGACGCATGAATGGACGAACGGATGAATGGACTTCATTTCCAATTACTGTATTGTACGGCACAGGCTTGCCGAATGCGCACTCAAATGTATCCATGTGCAACCTACCCCGATCCGAGGGACGCGAATGGATTTAATGCTAGCAAACTTCCCACTGCACCCAGCACAAGACCTCTCTTGCTTCAGTTCACGGACCATAAAGCCGTATTAAAGAAGAAAGCTCGCAATCCAACCGCCATGACAACGAAGAAATGAAAATAACAAACAATAAAACGAAACAACAAACAAGCAAGAACAAAATAAGAGTTGATTCGTATATTATGCGCAAATTATTACGTCTTTTTAATGATTACAATGGACTTACTTTTCACGAGAGAGTTATGGTTTACCGATGATCTCTCCCTCTGAAGCTTCGCCGACTTATCATTCATTTCGTGCATATGACGTGATTTTTTGTGAAGTACTCTTATTTTTGGAACGTAATGTCATATTCGTCTGCACAAACTCTGAGTCTTAAAATCTCTTCCCAGCTTTATCCATATGATGGTGAAAGCATCAAAGCGCCACCTATAGAGTACGGTGCTCACAGCTGTCGCATCCCCGTGAACCCATGTGCAGCTTGCATAATTGCTTCATCCTATTGCAATTCCTATTTGTCGGAATGTCAAGCACGTCCCACGTATGTTAGGCAGGTGCGAGGCAGGCTCCGTTGCGCGTCGATAATTTTCAGTAGATAGCTTGGCCTTCCTCGCCAATATTATCAAATATTAGGACTTGACTGTTCAGCCAAACTTAACATTCCGACAAGAAATAACAAATGTAATTTCTTAGCATGCATAGTGCTTACATTAGCAGTGAAAAAAAACTACTTGTTATTAGAATGGTAACCTTCAAGTGCGACTAACTTGTGGAGTCACTAACAAGCACACCGCAGCACTGGAGACGCACTTTACGAAGACGGTATAGTCTTTCTTGGAATACTTGAATGTCAAAATTTTGGTCTGCCAGTTTGTGTTTCTGTCTGTCTTCCTGTCACATGATTCCGTCACTGGTCTAAAGTTTAAGAACTTCTGAAAGCCCAGGACACTTGAATTGGTGGCTCTGTCCTTACTTGGAAACAATGTCGATCAAAAAGCAAACATCGCGCTTATCTGAGGTGCCACATCGATATGTAAATGTTACTTGGTGTGCAACATTACAAAGAAATACATAAATACGTAAATATTAAATCCTAGTGTTTTTAAGCTGCGCTAAAGATGCGACTGCTATGCACGAAAGAAGGCCGACAAACACTTTCATTTTACGACTACAGTTGCAGCGAAGCGAGAAGACACGCGGCCCTTTTTTATAACTATCATCGTTTATTTTTTCTTAGTTTCAAACGACAATGGTTTCCACGAGGACACCGCTGCTTCTTAGCGCCTATGAAGGATGGTATAGAATGTATCAAGATTAAACGAATAAATGGACGCTGTGATTCCAAGCCCGGAATACGGTACATTTCAATAACCGCTAGATGTGTACAGTAATTCCAACGGCTTTTACGCGCAGTACTAAGACTTCTCCGCCATGAAGGCCGCCTTATTGATTATTGCGACTTTTAGGCTCAATGTTCAACTGGATTTCTTGTTAATATTGCGAAGGTAGTGCTGTGTAATGTTACGTTTATTCACCACTAGAATTTGAATGTCCATTAGAATCCAGTTCTAGTGACACTTTCTGGCTGGATGTAAGTCACTTTACCGGCACCGCTCTACAGGTGTAGCAACTCGATTGCGAATAGACCAAGGGAAACCTGCAGTGAACCCCCAGCGGTGGGGAAATGTGCTAAAGTTTTAACGCACCGGCTAGAGCGAAAAAGCCTTTTATACTACGAGAAGCGTTCTAGATAACCTGTCAGATGTCTGAAAGTGAGTGCATGTAGGCGGAACATTCTTAAGCAATGTGAAAGTGGTACAAAATTGAAGAGATTAGGTTTACCTTCACAGAAAAACCCGAATTTCCGTCGACAAGTTGAGACAGTTTGGTTATTATTAATAAATTGCTTCTTCGACGTAGATTGATGGCCTCCAAAATGCGCCTATAAATTGCCGAATGGGCTCGTTTTTGTCGTGACATCTGTCGAACAAAATGAATTAAGGAAACTCCTTTCACTACATGGCATTTATGTAGTGTTTTTTTTCTTTTTCACTTATGACTGTGCTTCCTGCGCCTTCTAAGAAAGGAAATTTATTTGATGTAAAATTAAATTGAGAATTGCCATCATGACGCCAAAGGCTAGAATATTAAGATCGAAAAAAGCTTTACGTTCAGCCAGAAACACCCCAGTAAAGTGAAAAGTTGGGCAAACCTTTGTTGCTTGATGATAAAAAGAGGGGGCAACAATATGGCGCAAAAATACGGTGGTTTAAATATATCGTTCATGAATTGAAATAATACAGTTGATAGTAGCGCATCGTATGTGTCCTTTCCTCGAGTGCCAATAATAATTCAGCATGTTAGAAAGCTGGGCGAGGTCATATTGCTTCATACTTTAAAAGGCGAAAAAATAAACCACAATGCTCGTGGGCAACCACCCCATGCAAACTGTGAGGTAGACCGCCGAAGCCTTTTATACCAGCAGGCAAGGTTATACCTACATAAACCACCTCTTCATTAGCGAAGGAAAATCCGATATAGCATTCATTCTACCACATGTCTCAGTTGCTCAGTTGATAATGCGCTGTTTGAGGTAAGTTTCTTTTGGTCGTAAAGATGAGGGATCACTGGGATAAGCGTTTCAAAAATAGCATTTCGATTAACATTTTGATTGCAACATGTCGTCTTGTTCTGCTTCTTTTTCACTTGTGGCTGTGCTTCTTGCGCCTTCTAAAAAAGGAAATTTATTTGATGTAAAACTAAATTGAGAATTGCCATCATGACGGCAAAGACTAGAATATTAATATCGAACAAAGCTTTACGTTCAGCAATAAACACCCCAGTAAAGTGAAAAGTTGCGCTTCGGATGGAGGCGGAAACGTTGTAGGCCCGTGTGCTCAGATTTGGGCGCACGTTAAAGAACCCCAGGTGGTCAAAATTTCCGGAGCCCTCCACTACGGCGTCTCTCATAATCATATGGTGGTTTTGGGACGTTAAACTTCACATATCAATCAAAGTGAAAAGTTGGGCAAACATTTGTTGCTTCATGATAAACAGAGGGGGGCAAGAATATGGCGCAAAAATACGGTGGTTTAAATATATCGTTCATGAATTGAAATATTACAGTTGATAGTAGCGCATCGTATGTGTCCTTTTCCTCGAGTGCCGCAATAACGCGATAGCGTTAGAGAGCTCGTGTCGCAGAACTTGCGCCGTCAGCATCGGCACCGTTGGTTGTGAGCAAAAAATCGTCCATGGGCGAAAATTTGAGTAAGAATCAATAAAAAATTATTAAAATTTTCTTTTCCATAGAGATCAAACCAGGGCCGTTTTGGTGACAAGATGGTATGCTACCACAACGCCACAATGTTTTTTTTTTGTTTGTTTGACAAAGCCACGACGTTACTTACAGCTGCTCCAGAAAAAAAACACTACATAAATGCCATGTAGTGAAAGGAGTCTCCTTAATTCATTTTGTTCGACAGATGTGACGACAAAAACGAGCCCATTCGGCAATTTGTAGGCGCATTCGGGAGGCCGTCAATCTACGTCGAAGAAGTGCAGCCATCGCCGCTAAAACGCACAGCTCTAAATGTGGACAACTATGTCAATCTAGCGCAAAACATATCATGCTTCTCCAGAGCGTTCATCAAGCAAACAGCAATCGCTAGATAATGTGCTGTCATCTGTGATGCATTGTGAGACTCTTCATAACGTCTGAAATGGCGAGTGCGCGGAGTGGATCTTGGAGGCCATGCGACCCTTGCTTTAGATCAAAAATCTGTATGTACCATTCACGCACGCGAGCTGGTTGAATCTATAGTTATACTGTGTGTGTGTGTGTGTGTGTGTGCGTGCGTGCGTGCGTGCGTGTTTGCGTACGTGTGCGTGCACGCGCGCGCGCGTGTGTGTGCGCGCGTTTGTGTGCGTTCGTGCGTGCGTGTGTGTGTGCGCGTGTGTGTGAGTGTGCGTGTGCGTGCGTGCGTGTGCGTGCGTTAGTGCATGCGTGCGTGTGTGTATGTGTGTGTGCGTGCATGTGCGCGTGCTTGTGCGTGTGTACGTGCGTGTGCGTGCGTGCGTGTGTGTGTGAGTGTGTGTGTGCGTGCGCGTGCGTGTGCGTGGTGTACGTGCGTGTGCGTGCACGCGCGCGTAGTGTCTGTGTGCGTGCGTGCGTGTGTGTGTGTGCGGTGTGTGTGTGTGCGTGTGCATGCATGCGTGTGTGTGCGTGTGTGCGTTGCCATGCGTGCGTGTGTGCGTGCGTGTGCGCGTGCGTGTGCGTGTGTACGCGCCGTGTGTGTGTGCGTGTGTTTACCTGCGTGCGTGCGTGTGTGTGTGTGTGTGTGTCTGGTGTGTGTGTGTGTGTGTGTGTGTGTGCAAGGTGTGTGTGTCTGCGTGTGGGAGCGTGCCTGTGTGTGTGAGTGTGCGTTTGCCGTGCGTGCGTGTGTGTGTGCCGGGTGTGTGTGTGTGTGCGTGTGCGTGTGTGTGTGCATGTTGTGCGTGCACGTGTGTGTGTGCGTGCGTTTGCGTGCGTGCGTGCATGTGTGTGTGTGTGCGTGTGTGTATGTGTTTGTGTTTGTGTGTGTGCGTGCGTGTGTGTGTATGTGTGCGTTGGCGTGCGCGCGCGCGTGTGTGTGCGTGCGTGTGTGTGTGCGTGCGTGCGTTTGCGTGCGTGCGTTTGCGTGCGTGTGTGTGTGTGCGTGGGTGTGTGTGTGTGTGCGTGCACGCGCGGGTGTGTGTGTGTGTGTGTGTGTGCAGTGTGTTTGCGTGCGTGTGTGGGTGTGCCGGGTGTGTGTGTGCGTGTGCGTGTGTGTGTGTGTGCTTGCGCGTGCGCGTGTGCGTGCACGCGCGGGTGTGTGTGTGTGCGTGTGTGTGTGCGTGTGTGCGTGCGTGTGCGTGTGTACGCGCGTGTGTGTGTGCATGTGTTTACCTGCGTGCGTGTGTGTGTGTGTGTGTGTGCAGGGTGTGTGTGTGTGCGTGTGGGAGCGTGCGTGTGTGTGCGTGTGTGCGTTTGCCGTGCGTGCGTGTGTGTGTGTGCCGGGTGTATGTGTGTGTGCGCGTGTGCGTGTGTGTGTGCAACAAAACACATTAATAAGTATGCACACTTAGCGGTTGAAGGGTGTACAAGGGACCAGATTTCACTGTCGTGTTCAAGTCGTAAAGGAGAAGCTTAAGAGTCCCTCAATTTTTTCGCGCCCCTCTGTTTATGAAGAAATTACTCGAAATTATCAACAAATTACTCGCAATAAAACCAAATTTAGCGCCGCGGAGATGTAAAGTTGAGTTCGGCTGAGTGGGTATAGATATGAAGATAAATCTAGGCTTTGCCATTCTTTTGCCCCACTGGGATGTATCACTTCCTCAAACGAATAACATTGACACACTATTCACTTGTCCACAGGGCACTGGGAACTGCTCTTTCAAATCAGTCAAGTCCCCTGCCCCTTCCGCCCACCACCGGGTATACGGAAGGGGGAGTTTGTTGGACAATGTAAAAGTGGCTGCGTCATAACTTTTTTATTGTAGAGTTACTGTTTGACGTGCTGGTCGAAACGACCTTTTATCTGGCTGTTGTTGCAGATGCTTGGTGCTTTTCCCCGTGTTGTGGCCATATCCTCCTCCAATAACGACACTTCGTTCAAATGCCTTGCTGCAACAAGAACTCATTTGATCTGGAAGCAAAGAAGGCTTCCTATGTGTGGCACTTGGGCGGAAGCCATGCAGCCACTGCTACGTGAGCAACCTTAACTCCATTTCTCCTGTGTGAGGCCCGTGGTAATTCTTAACGTTCCTTTTATCACTGTGCTGTCACAGAGAAATATGTGTGTTGTATGCTCGACCTCTTCAAGAGGTGAAGGACAACAGAAGGATTCTTACTTCATGCCGAACATCTCCTATCAAATCAATAAGTCTGCAAAATAAAATAACATAAATCTAAAAAAATGAAGACTTCAAAATGAAATAAAAAGAGTAGGTAAAATATAATCGCAAAATAAAACAAAGCTATTCTGCCTACTCGCACTGTCTGCAAATATGATTCTCTTATTACATAGAACCCACGCTGCTGCTCATTCTATATAAAAAAAGGGGGGCGGGGCTTTCTGACATCTCTTGCGTCACCTTTTACTTTAACCGCATTATGAAGACTGCCTTACGTTCTTTCTCAGGTGCATTACATTTAATGAATAAAATTTGCAGCCTGATAATTTGCCTAACTACGCCCGCTGAGTTCTCTAGTTAACCGGTATGGTAGTTGCTGAGACTACGTGATACCCACAAATGTTACGCTCGCATGTAGTGATCGAAGGTGTGAACTGCTATTCCAAGGTAACCAGAAGAATAATAATGAGGGTGAGTGCTTTTATCAGTCATTTTAGCTGATGAGTGGTAGTTCACTCTCCGTGCGAGAAAAGTACGTAACAGCTACTTCTCACAGGTACCTAACTAAAGGGAAAGTTGAAGGCCTACAAGATCAGGGCTCAGCATGAACGTTAAAGATAAAGAAGACAGCAGGGTATGTACTGCAAAGCTAAAATAACATTAACCCCTAACAGTGGCTTTATACATTTGAAGACATGACATTCACACCACACAGAGGTAAGTAGTTACGTGGGCAGATAGGACTGGACAGTTTGTGATGTGTTTGAAACGTTTTACCTTCTAAAGCCACTATTCTGATAATTCGGCACGCCGGAATAGGTTCCAGTAGTTTTCACAACCTCAGGCTTTTGTTTTCACTTGCAACATAGTCACAGTGCACAGTTATTTCACTTCACCGCCACCGAAATACGGTCACAATGGCCATGGGACTCACATTCTTAGGTCCCACGTTCTTATATTTAGATGCTTCGCTGCTGCCACTGCAGCTCACACTTATGGTTTTTTTTTTCGATACGCGATGGTAAACTTATATTTATATTTATGCTACACCTTGCAGTGTCCAATTGGGATGCATTTTCATGTGTCATACTGCGGCAAGATTGAGCAAGATCAAGTGTTCGATTGAAGACTGCGTTATTATATAACACTACGTTCGCTTGTTCGTCGTCTCTTAGGAGACGGGTTGAAAAACGAATGGTCTTCAATAACTGCACCGGTGCTGGATGCAACATGGGCGAGGGCGTGATGGTCATTGTGATAATTTGCTCTGTCTTGTCATCAGGTCTACAGGTGCTTAAAAATTTATGAAGTAGCTCACATAAACAAGTAATAGTTGTACCAGCTTTGTCAATGAGTTAGTCGTGCCTTTTGGTTTTTTTTTTGTGATAGGAATGATATGGACACTATACGCTGATTTGCGCCGTTGCCGTCTTGTCCCGTATGGGCATATGTATGCGTAAATATCTGAAAGGCACAAATGAGATAAAGTAGAAGAAATAAGACCAAAAAGGCCCACTGGAGATTTCAACCAGTGACCCCACGCCTCTCGGCATGCTGCGTTAATCAACTCTGCCGTGCTGCTCATTCTATTCATTTTACTAACGATAAGCAATATTTATACACCGTTTAACACTGGCTGGCTTGCTTTCAGTGCACTTAAAAGAAACGATCTTGAACAGAGCTTTTATGTCTCGCTTGTAGCCATGCAGCACAAAAATAAAACAGCTAGTTCCATTGAAAGGTGGAAGTAGCAAGTCTCCTGCGGTTAGTGGGAGCCATATATAAAGAAACAAGCAAGCAAGCTTATCCTACCATACAGCTGCCCTCAACGTCAACTCTCACATTGCAATATCTTGGACAGTCTGAAGTGAACGTTTTGAGAAAGTGCATTAGAACTTCATTTTTCGCTACTATCATTGACACCATCGGCATCGACCGGCGGCAAGGAAGGAAACGCCGGATAAACTCCGGCGAAAACTCAATCTACCCTGTTGACTACATTTCGTTTGGCTCCTAAATCTCTTATATTAACTTTGCATAACAGTTCGATTGGTTGCTATCTTATTATTGCTTCGGCAGTTTCGCCAAAACTGTGAATTTTTTCCTAAATTTCTTGCCTTATATTTATGCTACTGCCTTCCAGTGTCCATAAGGAATGCATTTTCATGTGTCCTACTGCGGCAAGATCGAGCTAGTCAAGTGTTTGATTCAAGACTGCGTTCTTGTTTAACACTACGTTTACCTGTTCGTCGTCTCTTAAAGTACAGGTTGAAAAACGTACTGGTTGTAGAAGCATGGTGGATTTATGCGGCATCAATGTGTCTCAGAAAACCTTAATGACATATGAAATCTTCCCATTCACATGTCATTGCAATATGTGGCACCCGCGAATACTTTTTCTTTTTACATCAAAAGCATTTACTTGGGCAAAACTCAGTTTGCAGTGTATCGCAGCCCCGCTGATTCATTTATGAGCTCCTTGGTCATATACGACCAAAACTGGTGATTTTTCGTGACGTCCGAACAGACCTTGCGTGCCATATGCAGCTCTGCCACAGTGATGGTGTGAAGAAAATCCGACTTGTGCGTGGTCACGATGACATTTTCACCCATACCAGTGTGACAATAAGACATCTGCAGCTATTCATGCCAACCAAAATATACATCAGCTTTAAAACCACAGGAATTCGTGATATAAACCAGAAGCAATTCAAAAACATATCAGGGTAATTAACACAAGGGAATGTTGTGCGGAGGATGATATTTAGTGCCTGTACATACATTTCAGGGGCGATAGCGAAGCATTACAGTGCTATAAATGAAGCACCGCAAGGAAATTCATCTGTACGAAAGGACAGCTCCAATTGTGAAAAATTGCCGATTGACTCTTTTGAAAGCAGCCTAATTGGCTTGAAGAAGGCATACATATCAACGATGATACAAAGCCTCAGTATTTGAAAATGACTTGTACGAAACACTCTTGCTAATAAATAATCATGATGGGTGGTAGAATTGGTACTTACTTTAATATAAATAAATTCTCATTGGCGTATATGGCAGCTATCAGCGCGAAAGATGCAAGTCGTCACTTATATCTACAAGGATAATTTGACTGGCATCTAATGTACACACTAAATCACACAATTAATTTTTCCGAAGTTGTCGGGGAGACATGTCTGTAACATCGTTAATTCCAATTAAGACATTGAGTCATTTTTAAGGCGAGAAAAAATAGGAAAAGAAGAGCTTACGGGTTCCGAGGTGCGAGCGCCAACCAGCAAAAATTCATTCATGAACATCACAGAGAAAGTGCAAAACATGGAGAGTGAAAGCGCTGTGTTCTGTTCTTTCACTTCTCTGTAGTTCGCACTCTTCCGCCATAGTGCTCAGAAATAATAGCTGCATGCGTTATTTTGCGAAAAAAAAAAAAACCTGTGCTCCTGTCAGAGTACACTGGTTTAGACCAGAATTAATTTCTGAAGCCGCTGTTGTCTCTTACGTGAGAATACATATTAACCTTGAAAGAAAAGCTGGTGGATTCTCAACACTACTCGTGGCGGTGTATGTCATTGTGTGCGCGAGCATGCAAAAGAATGGAAGTTTATTTTACTTAGGTGTCGGCTTTTCTTCTTTTCTTGCATGAATCGTTTATAAATTTCACCAGATGCATGTTCCATTCTGTTTAGAGATGTTTACCTTGAGGAAACGTGGGATATATAGCGGACAGACTTCACGTTAAACTCATAGTATCGAAAAACTGCCCGTGCCGTGGTACAAAAACCACCTCATACTTGATAAAGCCCTTCGAAAATTACAACATGAATACGTTAGCAGTTCTATGTCAGTACAACGTTAACTATTTCGAACTTAGAATATGCATATTGATTTGTTTTACTAAGTCATTCATTCATTGCTGTTAAATATGGTTCCTCAAACAGATACTTATTTCCGCTTCTGCAGGTTGCAGTATAGCTCCCTGACGTTTTATGACAACTTTCCACAATCAAAACATATTTGCCATAAATCTGATTAGGTATTCTGAGTTGATTTTAAATAACGCTGCACACTTTATTCTGTCGCATTATCCCCGTTAATCAAGCGTAACTGCAATGAAATATCATTTGTCCCTGCCACCTTTATCCGTATATTAGAAATACTTCCTCCTTTGCCTTTTCTATAAGATCTACCACCATGTATTACTGCGTAGGGAGGTCATGCCTCTCACATATCATTCCTTTCGCATTCACCACATAAATACATATCTTGCTCCTTCATACCGGTCACAATAAACGATTGGAAACATCTACCAGGTGATATCCTTTCCATCTGTGATCACTTCCTCTTTCGTCATTCACTATCAGCTCACCTAGTTTCAGGTAGCTCCTAGTCATCCAATCTATTTTCTCTCTCCACGACTTTCTGTCTACACCTGGCGAGATGCCTGCTTTTTCTAGCAAATTCTTGACTTTATTCACTTCTTATCAATTTTACATCTTTTGCTACTATTGTATACCTTTAGCACACTCACTATTTTCTATTTGCCCTTAATTCTTTTACGTTAAAACTTTTGTTCTGTTTTACTGAAAAGAGAAGTTGTTTTGCCTTCGTCTTGTTCATGTATAAGTTGTGGCACGTTTTGTTTTCCTGTTTTGTGTTTTTCATGTTGTAACCCGCTTCCCTCTGTAGTACGGCGATTTAGGGCAACAGATATAAAAATAAACAAACAAACAAACAGTGAATCAATCAATAAATAAATACCTTTTGGTGTACATCAGATAAGAGTAAACTGAGTTGAGTATTGTTGTAACAGAAAATCAAAAATAAATGCGTAAGCTTGCATTGTTATGGCCTATATTTTCTGCTAGTTACAATGGTCAGGAACATAGACTCATAATTTAATACTTTTGCCAGGAGGAACGTCACATTCGACATTCAAGCAGGAAATGCTCCTGACCAGACAACCTACTTTATTGACAACGGTGAGTCAGATTCCTTGACCACGTTCTTTGATTCCATCAACATGTTCCACGTAGCTGTGTTTGCATGAAACAACTAATTACAAGTCTTCCATGTGTGTATATTTTTTTACAAGAAAAACGTGTTTGTTTTCATTAGGGATACATTGTAGCCTCTATATTTTACTCCTTTTGTGTATGTGTTTGTGCTATTGCTATACCTCAAGTCACTTCTTTTGAAACGACCAAGGCGTTTCAACAATAATAATTGCTGTAGTTTAATGTCTTGAAACCACGATATCATTCTGAGATGCAGTAGCACAGCGTTCCGAAAATTTTGAGGTGCTAACGGACAAAACTCTGCCAACTCACCTCCTTACTGCCAGACATTACTCTTTTTCTTCCCCACTACGCTGCCCCCGTGTAGAGTAGCAGGCTAGAGCACACTATCGCTCGTGCTTACTTCTTTGCTTGTCTGTAAATAAAACCATCTTTTGAAATGTCAAAACGCAGGCCTCAAGAATTTCTAACTCCACCGAAAAGGTGGCCTCCGTAACCGGGATTTGATACCGCGCATTATGAGTCGGCAGTCGAGTTTTATAACTATTAACCACTAGAATGCACTGGCTGGTTGCAAGAAGAAAGAAAATTGATTGAGGGACACGTTCGCTTCAGGCTGAATGACAATAAATTCAAATGGTAATGAAAAGAAAAAAAGCTAAAAAATCTAAAAGTGACAGATATTCTTTTAATACTATTAGTTTTGTATTTTTAACTGAACTGCATGAAGGTCTAGAAGGGCGCAGCAATAGTAATATTACACTTTAGCTGCCTAGAAGAGTTAACAAGGAAGACAACCAGAGGACAAGGTGTTTCATCGTTATATACGGCAAGAACATATATTTTTATTCTAGTCGCACTGTTACAGATGTAGAGGCAGTATTGTTACGGGAAAGATAAACTAGGAGGAGTAGGTACAGATGTATTTATACAAGCAAGCAGCGCTGTATATGCGATCGGCTCGCGCCAGTTTATCCTCTGTCGTCCTCCTTCTCGCCCAATCGTCGTGATGCCACAGGCACATAGCACTACCCTAGGAGGCGGCAGCACCGTCCCGCAGCTTTGAAGGGCGTTTCAGAAGCAGTGTTGAGCCGTGTGATGTGATCAACGTTACTGGACGGAGCGCATGATGAGAAATCGATGGGCCAATCTCGTAGGTAACAGGTGTTACTTGACAAAGTCACTGGTAAGGTCCCGTGTAACGAGAGAATAGTTGTTTTGAGATAGGTCCATCCGATTATGAAGGGACCAAGGTAGCACAAGGGTACCGGACGCCTCGATATGAAGCATCGTGCCGACGACGTTGTTTGATTCGCGATGCCATCAGCTGAGCGCGGGCGAGCTCATGGGAATGATCGGCTCGCGCGATCGCGTCACCGGCATACTCGCTGGTGGAAGAGATATAAGCTGAGATGAGTTTGTCCAGTGGTAAAGGCGAGAGAGAGAAAGGGATTGGGGAGTTATTATGAAAGAAAAGCTGCTCTGTTCCGTACAATACGCAGAAACAGGCCTGCTGTGCCATGACGTGTCAAATTAAGCGCAAATGTTTCGTAGGGCAGGGCGAGGTCCCAGTCTCAGTGTTCTGGGTAAACGTACATAGTGAGCATATCCGTGAGAGTACCATTACAGCATTTTGTGAGGCCATGGATTTGAGAGCAGTACGCACTGCTCAGTTTGTGCAGACTGAAACAGGGACGCAGGATGTCGGTGACGACTTGCGATATAAATGCGTGGTTGCGGTGTGTGAGCAGTTTTCTTGGGGCACTGTAAAATAATCTGAAATTCCGTAACAGAAAGTCAGTAAACCAGGTTGCACAGCTTGTCTGTAGAACACGCATAATTGCGTAGCGTGTAGCAAAATCTGTAGCTTCGGCTTTTCATTTGTATTCCGATGTTAATACAGGAAAATGACCAAGCAGGTTTGACCCAACGCGATAAAATGATTTCGTGGGTACGTCAATTGATTGAAGATGGCCAGCTGGTTATATATTTGAAGTTTTACGACATTGACACAACTCACAGGTGACGACGTATCGGCGTACCTGGCCAGCAAGATCTGGCCAGAAGAAACGGTGCTGTATAAGATCATTCGTCCGAGGTACGCCGAGTTGTCCAGCTCTGGGCGCATCGTCAGGTTCAGTGAGCATGCTGCACTGTAAATACTCAGGCAGGACAATAAGAAGGTCAGGCTGAGCCGGATGAAAATTTCGGTGTTATAGAACACCCTCCTGAACCACGAAGTGAAGGACGTGTGGCTGATGATATCAAGCACCATGGGTCCCGTTTCTGTTTTTAAGAGACCTCGTAAGAGGTCTCGCAAGAGGTTCATAAGAGGTCTCGCAATGTTTGCAAAATTTTGCCTAAAGCACGAGAAGTAAGAATAGAGTCCGAGAAGGCTCGTTAGCGTGCACTAAATGGTCAAGTGTAGGATTTCGATGGTGGCCAAAGTGAAATTTTGATAAGTTAAGGTGCGGACACGCGTGACTCAAGATGTCTAAGATGTCATACAAGCGAGTTTTTATATGAGTTTTTGTTGTCAGGAACCAAAAAACGGCATCTTAGCACTATAAACAGGTGCACTATTGAAAGCCTCTGAGCATAAAATCCATCACTCGTTCAAACGTGGCTGGAGGTTGAGAAAGAAAAGCCAAAGGCAATCACCTAGAAATAACATAGGCTATCAGTAGTGATAAACGCCGTCTTCTAACAGTCAAAATTGTCCACCTCTATGCACCCGGAACGGAAGTAACGTTTAATAGGGTAAACTTTATTTAGGTCTTGAAGATCGAGAAAGAAACGCCATGTGCCAACGTTTTTTGCACACAAAAATGACAGTGGATTCCCAAAGATTGAAGAATGACTCAGTGATGTTCTTGGCGATGATTTAGTTGACCTCACTTTGGATAATTTGGCACTCAGCCCCGACAAGCGACATGGGTGCCTATAAATAGAAAGCTGATCACCAGTGTTGATGTGGTAGGTCACACGAGTTGCTTTCCCGAATGAACGGCCGCTGCTATCGAAAACATTCATCTACGGTTGCAGAGCTTGGTGTAGCTTGTCAGTGTGCTGCCGTGTTACACTGGACGCACGATGACTGGGAGCAATCACTGACCTAATAGTACTCTCAGGGCAAGTATTGAACTGCCGCATAGCTTGAAGATCGGAACGCGCAGCCACCATTATAACATCCACAGTGTTGTATTATAAGGTAAAAAAAAAATGGCCGCGAGCCTGTGCATTTCAGTGCAAATGTCGTCTAACTACGATAGCCTTCTGTCTGGAGAGAGAGAAAAAAAAGTTTGTTGAATGTTCTGCGGCGAAAAAATGGTGAAAGGGATCCTACAGACACTTCATAAGACATGAGCGCCATCTGGCAGTTATATGAAAAAAAAACGATAGAATCTGCACATAGCCTCTTTTTGTAGGGGCCGTTTGGCATGCTCCCACCATCTCGGAGGTAAGAACTTGTAGAGAACAGAGCCACGGGTAAGTGGCAGCACCATATTGTGTTATCAAAGCATGGGGACCTACCGCTCCTTTCTGCATAGCCGCACACTGTCAGCCCAGCGTAATAAACATTGTGGTGTAAAGAACTACGTATCATTGTGTTTTCTCGTATAAATATACACGCTAAGAAAGATGGACGTGATGATATTGCTCTTCAGATATGCTTAATATTTGCTTTTAGATCGGCCATGACCCGAGTATGAATGCAAACATCAGATCAAGCTTGGTGGGCGATAAAATAGCAGTTGAACTTTTGCCTAGTTGTCTAGTTTTGGTTGATAGACACACAAACAGAAATACAGACAGACTAAACTTTTTGCGTTGAGGTATCCTAAGAAAAATTTCTACGATATGGGATGTTAAATTATCCGAAAGCAATGCTGAGATGCCTTGTAGCGGCACTTTAGGTATCAAACTAAAATTGACTACTAGAAAGCACGTGGAGTTCCCTGGGACTGACAGAACGGTGTGTGGAAACGTGACGCCGCAGTTATTGAGGACATTCGTGAGAGGTGTCAGTGAAAAGTCGCCATGTGGATCTGTTGGTGCTGATACGAACTCGACGTAGGTCAATGTTTGTGACAGAAGACGCTCATATCCGACAATGCACAGGTGACTCGCTCGGCTGTGGTGTAGGAGGGTCTGTAATGGGCAAGTGAAGATGCAGCACGATGGCTTAACAGTCAATGGTGCAGAGGTGTGGACAAAAAGTAGAGGCCTAAAATTATGTCACGGCGGCACTTTTCAAGGACGGCGAACAAACGTCTTAGTGGTGATTAGTGATGCTTACATGGGCGTAGTACATTCCGAAGACAGATTCATTCTGCCATCGACAACGAAGAAGAACTGAGTCGATCGTCACAGGTGTGAGAACTCTCCTGAGCTTGCGATGGAAATCAGTGATCATAAAAAGAAAGAGGACCAGTGTCGAAAAAGGAGACACATGCACACCGTCGAATTGTTACGTCGACATGGTTCCGTCTGGTCGTTATTATCTATAGAGCATTTTTCACCAGTCCAAGCGCTGCAGCCCACCGCCTGGGGGCTGCGACGCTTCGTGTAACCGTCGGCGAACTTTGCAGGAAGGCGGAGGATTGCGGCTTGTGTGGCTCGGGTGCACGAACGAGACTGGCGACGTTGGGCGATGGAGAGCGCGAATATAGAGGTTAGGTCACAGGTTCCTGGGCAAAATGATCGGGGCTGGTCTCATTACGACAAGCGGGATAAACAGTGAAGTACGAGGGAATGTTTGTGCAGTAAGAACCTAGCGATGTGTGCAATTGCAAGAAATGTGGCTGATACGCTGCCAGGAGAGGCATATGGACCTGTAGTCCTGTGCTCTTCACTGCGGACAGATTGTGGAAGGCTGATGAGAGCCACATGAGGATTGATGTGCAATTGTGAATTGCGGTTGTAAGTCGGTACGGGGAGATGTCAAAATAGAGCGAATTGCCATGCTGGCAATATTGAGCGGTATAACTGGAAGAATTAGGCGCAAGGATAATGAAGGAGGGGGCTCCGAGGACATTGGTGCCGCTGAAGCTGGGCTAATCGTTTTAAGTTCCCGCCTTACGAGTTGTGTTAAATTATCGCATGTGTCTGGTGGACGGTACGTGGCGAGGCAGGATAATGTAGCCGCGGTATTCAGAAGGCGCTGGAACTGACGCGGGATGCGGCTGATTTTAACCTGTTACAGGCGGCGGCATATTGGAATGAAGGCACCAGAAGACGAAATCTTACTTAGTACCAGCAAGTTAAGCGCGTTATCGACAATACCCTTGAGGATGTACCGAAATCTTTTGACTCGGATTTGTTGGCGGCGGCTTCGTGGCAGAGTGACAGAACCTTCTTGATGTAAGTGATGACGAGTTGACAATTCAATCTTTGATTATTGTCGACGACCGAGGCACACAATATGAAGCACACCAAACCGCTTCTTGAAGCTGACCCAGCTTGTAATGTCATGTTCGTGGTTGTCAAACCAGACACCAGGGGTTTCGCTGAGGGGAAATATGGCGTTGGCGAGCATGAGTGTGGGGCCCCACCTGTAACAGGCGCTGATATGTTCGTACAGGTGCAGCCATTGGTCGACGTCCATACCTTGGAGGCCCGAGAAGACGCCACGGTCCTTCAAGAGAGCAAGCATGACAAAATTTGTTGCTGTCGGGGGCTGGCAGGGATGACAGGAGGTGTGACGACCGTAGGGATTCTAGTCGAGCCCTGAAATGCCACGTTCGAAGCCGCGAGTGCACGCTCGCTGCAGAGCTCCGTGGCGAGGATGGGGATTTCACCGCTCCACCAATTATAATACGGGAAGATACAGACTCGAAGGAGGTGATACAGTTGTATATGCAGCCGAGCAGCGGTGGCGATACGGTCACGTTCTTGTTCTTCTTCACGTTGCAATGTGGCTCACGCCCACTGTGGGAGATTAGCCAATGATTGAATGACATTATAAAATACTAGGAAATTTCAGAATATTGAAGGTCCTCCTCTTCATCTGTTTAGTTTTGGTGCCGCAGGAACATAACAATGCATTTTCATATGGGTGTGCATGTTCACGGATGCAAAAATAACAAATTTTCTATTTGTTAACTTGCCTCTCTTCATATTGTGTGATTTTCAGACCGGACTCGCCCCTACACTGCCTACTACAACTACACTGATTACGAAACTTGCATGGTCATGATAGTTCCATACAACAACCACGACCGTAAGTACTTGTGACACCTAAACATCATTACTTATATTTAGTTTCCTGTTCCGAACTTGTATTTTTAGAACTATTTAACTTTTTAAAAACTTAGGTGTTACGGATATCTTAAAGTGCGAACAGTATTATTCTTATAACTCGTTCCAAATGATTACTTTCACGTCTAATTATGCAATAAAATCAATTTTGCGGAATACAAACCTATCCCTCTAGTGTTACTTCCAGCAAGTCGAAAAGTTTCAGGCTTAGTTTTTCAGAAACTTTACCAATATTCAACTCGATACAATGAAATCATTGCCCATTCACAATGTATATCGCTTCATATTTACCATCCTTACAACCACGACATTCAATTGTGTAATAGTAAAGCTTTCTTTCAGAAATTTCTAGTTAAATATTATTTGGATTGCCAACACTTTCCTGTTGATACCGTGTCAACTCACGATTGCCTCGAACACCTTTAGCCACCATTTTTTAGCCTCAGCATTAAAAAAAATATTTGCTTTGATAGTGCAATCTAAATGCATTCAGTATTGAATGGTTAGATTTCTTACTTCGCAGTTGTGACCTCAGAAAACTTTTGTCACTTGTTTGCGAGCAGTGTTATTTCCATCATTAACGCTAAATAAGACATATATGATGAAGCTGCTGCATTGAAATGTTTTATGAGATTATGCGTTTTTTCCGCGTATTCTCTGAACAGTCCTGTTTTCAGTACCTTCGCTCAAATCGGTTTTAGTAAGAACAATAAATCGAACGCTCACAATGCTACACAACGCATAATTGTATGTTCATTATGATGTATGCCCACGGAAACCGCCTTTATTTGTTCATATTTGTTCATATATATTTGTGGACTGAACAGCACCATCAGGTACCATTTATCGAGCCTGCCTAAAACATTTGACGTAGTAGTAGGCCGCTAGCGAGAAGCGTCACCGCTGGGGCACGAGACCTAACGTCTAACGTCAAAACATTTGACGAAGACTAAATGGTGCCATCTGCCGCTAAAGGTAACCATGTGCCGTTGAGAAGCAGCGGGCGCTAACGCTTACTGGCGGCGACGTTGACGCTGGCACCCATCGCAGCGTTGTGCTGGAGAGACACTTGGGGAGGCTAGTGGAGGCTAGCACAGCCAAGCAAGGGACCGACTGGGTGGTGCTCCTATTCTGTCGGCTACTTACCATCCTCGGGGGAAGGCCCATATATTCCGCTTGGTGGTGCGACAGCCTGGCGACACTGCAATAGTAAAGGCAGCAAGATAAGTTGCTATTTAGTGTAAAGCACTTTAGTGGCCCGGCTTGTCGGCATCTCCTCTCGTCACTGTGTTGAAGTCACGGTCTACCCTAAACTTAATTTCTAATAACGAAGTCCTCCATAAATGCATGATGGCAACAGCATGCCAAAGAACAAATTGCGACACCACCATGACGTCGCGAAGAATCATAGGGTCTCGGCTTGTCGGCGTATGATGTGGTTGCGGTGTGCCATGTAGTCCAAATTTGAAATCAGTGTAAACTTGTGAACGGAAAAGGTATAATCAGTGCAGAACGTTAAGACATTGGGTGTACTTTTTAACCAGCACATGGTTTAGCAAACACACGACGATCGTAAAGTGAGATGTTTGGCAAAAGCTTGTGTGTGTAAAGTGAATATCGGGACGTGTTTGCGTCCAAGTTTATTTGTTACTCTATAATCAATCGGTGCTTGCCCCACATTCACATTAATTTTGTTCAGGGAAACGCGTTAAAAATTAGTCCACTTTTGCCCTAGTAATGTCAAGTCTGAAGCAGGCGCGGAGCAGGGCAGCGTTCCTTGTGTCTTTTGGGGTTTCTCTTTCTTTCTTGTTCTCGTATCTGTTTCTTTTTCAGTGTTTGTTTTCTTTATTTTGATTCCGTTTCGACTTCCAACATAGTTCTTCCTTTGTTTTTTTTGGGGGGGGGGAGGTGTTGAGGAAGGGCTTTTCCAAGGTCACACAAAGTAGTTCATAGTTTCGCAAGCGTTCTTGACAAACCTCGTCAAACTGTGGATTTTTTTTATTTTCAGAAAGAATTCAACTTTGTTTCACATGAAAAGTTACTTTGTAAAGTAAAATATATCGGTATGCTCTCTATCAACATTATTTGTATCTCTGCTTACTTTGACAAACGTACTCAGTCGGTTTCCGTTAATGGTCATCACTCATGTCGTTTGCAGTCACTTCAGTGGTGCCGCAAGGTGATGTACGGGGACTGCTTCTGTTCTTGATTTTTATTTATGGCATCATTCACGTTATCAAAAGTACACGTTCAAATTCAAACATTCGCAGATTACTGCGTATTGTGTATTCAGGTTGTAGACCAGAAACTTTTAAAAAACCAACGCCCATAACATTCATTCATGGTCTAAACAAGGAGACATGAAGTTTAATGAAGCTAAAAAACGATACATAGATATAACGAAGAAATACGTAGCCAGTTGTTTTTAACGGTATTCCAACGAATCCCCTTGTTGAGGTGAATTATTTTAAATATCTTAGAGTGACCGCAACTAACCTCTTATTAGTAACATATGTGGTCCTTCTCGCAAACCTCGTATTCTGTTCCCGGAAACCAAAGTTCATTCATGCAAAGCACTAACTATGTCTAAGTTAGAATACGCTTGACCTATCTCGGATCCTCACACAAACCACAAAATTTAGACACTTGAAATGGCGAAAGGCTTTTGGATTTATTTTTTTTCTAGATTTCGTAGCACACTCAAAAACAGCTCGCATTGATACTCATGGTAAGCAAACTTCAATTACGACATAACATATGCAGGCCTAAATTTCGTTTTCCCCTGTAAAACAACGACCTTCCTTTTTATTCGGGTTTATATACATACGACCGTTAGCAACAAGACTAAGTAGACATCGTCGCCTTGAATCCGAAACTTTGTATCACACAAAAACTCCTTCGAGTTTTTTTTTTCCTCGCACTATTAACAAATGGAACGCACTGCCATTATCATCGATCGCTTCAGTGGAATTGATGGACCTGATTACTTCGTAATGTACAACATTGAAGCTGAAATCTTTGTGTTTGTGTGTTTATTTATCGTCTTTTATAATTTATGTGTTTCGTTTAGTAATTTTGCTCCTCATGCCTCGGCCAATTCAAACCTTTCGTGTGTTGTCAATAAATAAATAAATAAATAATTAATTAATAAAATAAGCGGCTAGTTAGAAAGATAAGCTTGTAAAAAAGTTCAAAGCCCCTTAATTCACAAAAAATGGTTTCGCAATGCTTTCGCACTAAGGGAACGATACGAGCAATTTTATAAAGAAACAATTAACCCTGGATGTAAGCACCTGCCATAATTTTCGTTACACCCCTCACTCACCTTCCGAATATTTCGCCATGCGATCATCATGCGAGTGCCAATTTATGTGCTGAATAAAAATGACATCAAATATTTCGATTCCTGTGCAAGTTCTACCTTTTCCGATCACTAGTTATGAACAAGCTTGCGTTTCTAGTGGCCTTAAATCTTAATCATTGTATGGCAGTCCACTCTAAAAATGCTTGTAATGCAGGGCTAGCCAAATGAGTTTTTTTTTTGTGAGGTTCGGTTGGCTAGAAAAGGACAGCAGTGTCATCTGCGTTAACGATCCCTTCGCAAGCTAACCTGCTTATATTGTTTCCATAAATGCTAAACCATATTGGTCCCAGGATGCTACTCTGTGGAACTGTAGCTGGTATTTAGAGCAAAAAAGAAGCACACTTCTCTTTAACCATGATACACTGCTTTTTACTATTCAAGTATAAGATTAAAAAGTGAAGTGAAACACCACAAAATGCACACTGCTCTAGCTTAACGGCTAACCTTTTATGATGTATCCTATCGAACGTAGAACTACGCATGTAATAATTAAGTGACATAGCTTTTATCTTCCAGATTGCTTACTGTGGGTCAAACCTGCTGTCGCACATGCTGTCCCTAGGCACTGTTTGGACAACTACGAAGAGACGTGCGATGTCCGGGTTCCACAGTATGACAATGACCTCTGTGGCCATCAGGAATAAAGTGTCATGTTTCTTAGAACTACTCTTCATGGAACATTTCTTTTTTTGACGAAAAAGTATTCCTATGTAGCACCAGCTTCTGTATAAATGTAGTGGTAGTGAGAGTTATCAGTTAGAGTTTACGACACCTTGTAAAACGACAATATCAGCACGCATACTCTGTAAGATCTTTCACTCGGTACAATCTTTTACATTTCTTTTTTTTTATTTCACCTAAAAACGATTTACTTCGCTATTGATTGATAACGTGAAATAAAATTGACGTTTTGTTTGACTGACACCATGTTTATTCAGAATAAAAAACGCTCATTTTTTGCTATCTTTCTCCCTTGGGTATTATCAGTTTTCATGACCTGCAGTTGGCCTTTTTGCTACTCGGTCTTTTTCTTGATCTATGTGCCGTAATTTATACCGTGAAGACACATGAAACCAACAACAGGAGTACCAACAATAAAGCCCAAGGTATCCCACAAGTATATGTTTAGGCAAAAACAGGGTGTGCTAAAACGGCCTTCTGAACCACTCATGACATTTTGTGCGTAAAGCCAATAATTTTTTTTTGGAACGGTGGTCATCTTAAGAGGTTTTTCGTATTGTGTGTTTTTTAGCGGCGAAGTTTCTTAAGGCAGGGGTCTGTAGATCCTCTAAACTATGTAGCTGTAGTAGTAGTTCGCTAGCCGCCTCTAGCTTAGTTCTTGCAGTGTTGACTAGATGGCGGTAGTTGATGCGAGATGTTATAAAACTAGATGGCGGTACTTGTAGTTGATGAATAGATGCGAGATGTTATAAAACTAGATGGCGGCACCTGTAGTTGACAATGAAAGATGCGCAATGTTATAATAAAATTGATGTCACATATGGCACGTGTCATTGGTGGAAGGCAATGGTTCGATTTATTGCAGCGACCCACGCTAGGGGGAGCACTGTAATAAAATTCGTTCACTGTCGGCACGCCGTGGAGCTGCACGACACCGCTACCGAGATCCTACCGTACGAAAGCGAGAGGCCCAAGCAGCACAGAATACACACACAGCGTTTCTCATGTCTAGAAATGATAAGCGACTCAGCGAATCACACGGAAGCTTCACAATTTAACGGTGATTCCCTCCGGAGCTTTGCCCACTCATCATCATTCCCCCCCATGGATGCGCTGTGATTGTTTTTTCTCTTGGCAAACCAGTCACTGTCGACTACTTCAAGATTTTATGGATTGAAGTAAAGTGTAGGATTGGGCTAGTTGGCCTTATATTATTGGAGCGCTCAGCTCAAATATTGAGACAACGCCTATTGAAAATCCAGGGTTGGTGTATGCTGCCATTGTTGGTGAAAATGGTAGAAATAATACTTGATATGGTGGGAATAATACTGAATTGGGTGGAAGATGTAGTGGTCATAATGCCTCATGACGGCTTAAGTGGAAAAAATGATGGCAGATGGTGGTGGTGACGAGCCAATGGTGGGGACAAGGGAAAAGGCCGGCTGATGGTGGTGATGCAAATTGTGCTTGGTGGAATGCTTGGTGAACAGGCTGGATAACAGTAGCATGATGAAAGCTTAGGAGATAATAGTGGCATGATTAAAAAGTGGATGGCAGTATGTTTATGATAAAAAAACACACACACAGGTGTCATTGCGCTTTCTAGCACGTTTTTTTTATTTCTGCGATGTCCACAGAACTTCCATTTTTTGTGGAGCGCAGAATGCGGGCGCGAATTTTTATATTTCGTGCACGTACTTACACCAGTTTGAAATGCGCGCGATTCGCTTCTTTTTTTTGTGATATGTAGAAGACTAGATGAGTGCTACGAGCTGTGACAGTAAATGTGCTGCATCGTCACGCAGTTCTCAAGAAATATATGAGATCTAGTTTGACATTGCCCATTTCAACGGTAGACCAGAATGCAGTCGTCACTTGGGGCCACCACGCTAGAAATGCAACTCTGAAATTGTTGCAAACTCGATTACTTGAGCCGTACTTTCGAGTTACCAAAATGCGTGGGACGCTGAAATGCATTTACTTGTACCTTCAATATGCGTCGAGACGAGCCCCAACGAGTGCGCATTCCACCCTTTTGTTCCACCAACATGATTTTCACCAAAGGCTAGGCCTACCGACCGAGCCCCTACATGTGCTACTGGCGCTTCTGTGTTTCACAATACACAATTACGGTGAGCAATATTAACAATACAGCACAGCCGTGGCATCAGTTTTTCTAAATAAACCCTTTTTTTATTGAGTACGCTGTACGCTCAAGAAGCGACAAACGTTGATGTGACGTAGTACCAGCATTTTCAGCAAAGGTACGTCATCGCTCACCGACAGCCGTTGGTCGCACTTGCCCGCACGTCTCTGGCTCTTATGCGATAACACAGTCTTGTCAATTTGTATGCTTACTGAACCAATATATTGGCATGATTTTCCCCGCTGCACGGCATTATTTTGGCCAAGCCTTTATGTAGTTGTTGCTTAGGATACAGGTACAGCAGTGCGATGGCACGACTGCGCTATAGGTTGCGCGAAAAACATCGCAATACTCAATCAATTGTGTGGGCGTATCTACAGAATGAGCCTAGAGGCGTCATAAAGTCTGAGCAGATGTCGTCCTTTGGAACGAGCGAGAAACGGATATTAAACTTGAGAGTAACCACCGATAAACTATACCTGTTCCTCCGTCCACTTGAATTTATTTTTTGCGATTGTGAAGTGTAACAAGAACATAGCGCTGTTGCCATTATCACAGTGGCAATCGTTACAAGCAACAGTTGATTGTGTTTCATAATTGAGCCAAGTTTAGTAGCAGGCACAAATCGCGTCTCCATCGATTACGCGACATGCGAAATTCATGACAATCATGACACATATATGGAGATGTATATATATATATATATATATATTTATATTGTGTACTTTACAACTCATTTGAATAAATTGAAGAAAACATTTTTGATCTTGTATTCCTTACGACATTATTCCTCCGCTTTTCTACGAGACTTTTGGATCTCACGAACACGTCACTAATCTCAAGTGACGTCACGGAAGTGCGAATCCCTACCCCGCCAAAGTGGCGTTACGCACGCTAACAAGTACAAGTTTTTGCAAAAGGAAGGATAGAATAATTTAAAACTGTTGCAGCGCGTCCTGTTTTGATTGGGGTATACAATAACCACGTACGAGGCTTATTCTGACCTTGCCTACTCGATGGCAGGGGCAGGAATAGGTACCTACACGCCACGACAAAATCGCATATGAGTGTAACACTGAGCAATCGCCGCGAGACGCGTTATACTTGCGCGCCCCCTTGCAAAGTATAAAACTCCCACAGTCCCTATTGCTTCACTCAATACGAATTGATGCATGATGGTGATGATGCCGTACACTAAGGCTCATACCCATTCGGGGGGAATTGAACATCAATTGGTCCAAAGAATTTTTATGCATTTCAAAGACGAACTTTTCCCGTCAGTTGCTGTATTATTCATCCTCCATTTCACTCGGAAAGCGTTCTGCACCTACGTGAAATATCCTTACTGAGTGTGACTCGAAATACACTGCACAAAAGAAAAAAAATTAGGACACAGAACTGACAGGGTAATAGCAACTGAATTATAAGTTCACAAAAACGTACTTAAATAGCAATGAAGTCCTGATAAAACTGAAATATTAGGCGTAAATACATTAAACATACAAACACCAAGTGCAATGTTCAGTGTTGTCGTTCAAGACAAGCTGTCTCTCCCTCCAGTATACCAATCAATGGGTGATCAATGAAGCATGATTCCTCCTGCTCGATAAGAAAGGTCTTTAAATAATATTCCTTGGCGTACAACAGTTATGTTTGTACAACAGTTATGTTTGTATCACAGTTGTTTGCTCAAAAAGAGGCTTGTAGCTACCTTTTTAGCACTACTTGAAGTGCAACGCTAGATGCATGAACGCCCGGTTCAATCTCTTTTTGAGCGAACAATTCTGAAACGGTTAAACTACGGCTTCATGCAAAGGGAGATTATAGAGGCGCTCCTTATTGCTCAGAAGTGGCCATGATGCATTAGACACCCATGCATCAATCTGAAGGAGGGAGAGATAGCCTTTCATGACCGACACAAGAGCTCATCGCACTGAGTGCTTGAATGAGTATTTTCTTGCTATTTTGGTTTTATCTTGTTTACCTGCGTTTTAAGTAAGCTTTTTCTGGATAAAGAATTTCGTTGCTAATACCACATAATGCATAGCCGTGTGTGCTAGTTCATTTAATAATGCTGTTCTCGTTTATTAATATCTGTCTGTATCTTCTGTTGTGTACTTTGTAATTTGCACCCTCTCCCCAGTTGTCATGAACGAACATCGACGCGCCTAACGTTTTATTTTAACGTGGTTCTGCACTGCTCCCGTTATCGGCTTACCATTGGCCAAGCTGCGATGTTACATTGGCATGACGTAAAAACAGAGGTCTTGCTGCGGAGACATACCACAAGCAGGTCAGCCTCTTTTTTTTATTAGAACCCGCAAGCGAGTTCTTCTTCTTCGTCCTTTCCATAGTCCTTCATAGCACATGCACAACTATAGCCGTCTTATGATCGGCAATATCTGATCTTCTTTTTGCGTTCCACGTTACCGTACAAGCAGAGCATGAGAGTAAGGGTTATACTCAGGCGCTCCGTCAGCCTGTTTGTCTGCGGATGGTATACAGTTGCGCTCCGGTAATCTGTACCACTGAGCCTGAGAAGCGACTCCAAAAGTTCTGCGGTGAATGCAGATTCTCTGTCTATGATCACTGCTGTTAGAGCGCCACGCTGAAGAACGATGTTTTGATGAAAAACTGAGCAGCTTCTGCTGCTGTGCCGCGCATGCATAGCTTTAGTCTCCGCCTAACGGGAGAGGTAATCAGTGGCAAGAGTAATCCTGTTTGTTTCTTGTCGTGCAATTTTAAATGGGCCTAGGAAACCCATCCTAAGCTGGGCGAATGGCTTCTGGTGCTTCGACTGGATGTAAAAGGCCGGCTGGCTTGCTGGGAGGCACTTTGCGTGTTTGGTAGTCGGACTGTGCAAGCTTGCACGTTATGCTCAATCACAGAAGGTAGCTTTGGTTAGTCGTAGTTATATCGCAGTCGACACAATGTTCGGGTGCAGCCTAGATGACCAGAAAAGGCTTCCATCATGGCACGCGTTTATAAGTTATTTCGAAGGGATGCCGGCACTACTACAAAGTGAGTGCTATCGGTTGGAAACGAAATAAGTTTTTCGTTTAGAGAACATCGTTTCACAAGCAAAAAAAGCAGTCCTCTAGCAAATAACCACGGCACGTCTTGAAGTCATCCTTCTAAGTAA